ACTTTTTATTCATTTTTTTTATTTTTGATTTACAGCTTGATTCCACACTGTATTTTCGGTACAAGTATGGAATTTTCAGCATGGATATCGGTAGCCCAAATTTTGCAGGCCGACCATAGATATCAGGTGTGCGTCGGCGTGGGCTCGAACCCCGCACCATGTACATGGTTGGCGAGAGTCCTAACCACTGTGCTACTGTATAGCGTAAATGTCTTCTTATTCTCTGACAAATTAATTAAATGTTTCCTTCATAATTAGCTAACGGATTAGTGAATTAAAAAATAAGCTTTTCTGTACAGGTTGTATTTAAAAGAGATTACTTCCTTCACTTACCTACGAAGCTAGTTTCGTTTCAGCTACAGATGCGCAACAGATGAAGATGTCAAAGCAGACCAGAAACGGAAAGGCAATGTATGCCTTCATCAATCTGTAATTAATTTGGAAATCTTCTGCACTAAACACAAGGAACAAGATCCGGATTTTCAATACGAATGAGACGTCGGTCAGTTCTTCTATACGTGTCAGCAACTTGACTAACCTGTCACGAAGGATTTCCAACACGTTGCAGACTTTCATCGACAGCTGCGTCGGTGGCACAGTGGTTAGGATTCTCGCCGACCATGCACATGGTCCGGGGTTCGAGGCCACGCCGACGCACACCTGATATCTATGGTCGGCCTGCAAAATTTGGGCTACCGATATCCATGCTGAAAATTCCATACTTGTACCGAAAATACAGTGTGGAATCAAGCTGTAAATCAAAAATCAAATCAAATCAAGATCAAATGGCCAGAAAGAATAAGCAACAAGAAACTATGGGAACAAACCAACCAAGAACCGATCACTCAACTAATATGTAGGAGAAAGTGGCGATGGATCGGGCGTGCATTGAGGAGGCCACCGAATGACATCGTGCACAATGCAGACCATCGTTCGAGTGGAATCCAAATGGGAAACGATGAGTGGGTCGTCCGAGGATGACATTGAAGAGATCGTTTAGAGAGAAGGAAATGAAAGATTATGGTTAATCACGGACCGACGTGAAGAGGACGGCAGAAAATAGAACAAAATGGATATGTGTTGTTGAAGTCCTATTTTCCACTTGGAATCCAAGGGAATAATAATAATACAGGTTCGATTTATTCTTAGAGTTCAGTTCAAAATAAATACGTATATCATAGTATGCATGGTTTAAAATTATAGCCACACTGAATTATTTCAGATCTTTTATTCTGAATAAATAACTATAGCGTAGGCTGCTTTAAAATTCATAATGAAATAATGTGCGTCGGTGGCACAGTGGTTAAAACTCTTGCCGACCATGCACATGGTCCGGGGTTCGATCCCCTGCCCACGCACACCTGATATCTATGGTCGGCCTGAAAAATTTGGGCTACCGATATCACATGCTGAAAATTCCATATTTGTACCAAAAAATACGGTGTGGAATCAAGCTGAAATCCAAAAAAATAAATTAAATAGCTAGTGATGACCCTTTTGAAGCCTTGAATGAACAGATGTGATACAATTATAAAATGAAACTACTACTGTTTTTCTGGATAAATTGATGATATACTGGGATGAAATTTTCCTATTCACGAATGTTTATCTGACAGAGAATGTCAACTATGTATGGGAATAGGTGGAAGAGACAACTATCAATAAATGTCCCTTCAAGAATTATTGTGTAGGTGTAATATAATAATAATAATAATGGTAAAGCTTTATTTAAGAGAGTATGCGAATAAACGGTACAAAAATTTTCAGCGTATTCAGTTCCAAAGTACTCTTTCCTTCACATAGGATTCACATGTAAAGTAATAATCTGAAGTATATCTTCATTTCGTTAAAAAATTGTACAGCGTTTACTTAGGAGCAAGCTAAAACATTGCGCAAGTTTATGTATAGGTCATTTGATATAACTGGACAATTAAAGCTATGATAAATCCAGGTGAAATTAAGCATTTTGCAGGATAGTAATTTCGGTAGCCCAATGATTTAAGCAGGCCGCCTTAATATAAACTTTAATATCAAATTTTGATGGAGAACTATACAGATAGGACGATAGAAATGTAATAAGCTCCTCTGAGGGTCCCATTTTAGTAGAAACTTTTCCAGTTAAACTAAAAAATGGTACACTTGACCATTCAATCATTAATTTTACAATTTATAGTATAAACATGAATGATACTGATAGCAGCCAGCATAAAATAGTAAATCATCCTCTCTCATGACTTTCGTGATTTATCTTTTGATGGAGTTATTCTATTAATCCATCATTTCTCACGTATATTGTGTCTTCAGTTCATCATCTTTTGTCTCACCTTGGTCTTCTTCAGATTGCCAACCAATCAGAATAGCTATTGCCAACGAATAAGATTAATCCATTCCTACGGCTGCGAGCCGACTGTATTGTGGTAAATAGAATGTGTAAATTTGTTTTCAAGAGCTTGCTCAGTTTGTAAGGATTAGATTTGTTTATATGAGTTTGACCACGGATTGACATCAGTTAGAGAACCATTGAAAATTACGGAGTATTGGACAGTTGTTTCATCACAGTTTGGGAATCATCATCAGTACACACCCCTTGGGGTTCGAATCCAGAACCTTCCAGTTACAAGGCAAGATCGTATACCATTCAACCACTGAGACCTGATTCATTAGCCCATGAATCCTAACTTATACCAATTCTTAATTTAGGGCGACTACCAACCAATGTAATCAGTGGAAACTCCATCCTCACACTTGACTAGATGGACCTCACCGGTCACTAGAACTCTAGGAAAATCTGATATCAACACGTGGTCAAACTCGTATAAATATGTGTTGTTTCCTGATAAATATACAGTCACAGGCCAACCTTTGTCTTCTGATATTTGTGCGGCTTAGTGAAACGTAAGGTACAATGAACGAATAGGCCTGTTAATGTACCAGTTGAGTTGATTACCGTTACAACAATTAGAGGCTCAGATACAGCATATACGTTTATGATTTGTTAGAAAGAAGTGGACATGGATAAGGCGCTCACTCAGTCGTGCAGTCCTCATGTGAAGAAGGATAGAATAATCTTTCTGGGCGTTCTTCTTCTGTCAAGAGGGATAGATTTATCAGTAAGTAAGGAGAGTATTACATCAGAGGCAGTAGACACACTTCCTCAATTTCATACCTTTACAATAAAATCCAAATTTGTTAAAAACTCTGGTCTTTGAAGTCATGAGTATGTATTCAAGTGATACTAATAGAGAAGAAATGATAGCCCTAAAACGAAATGGTTGTCCGGAGAAATCTTTCAAGAAAATGTATGAAAAATAAACCTTAAGAGAACATTCTTTAAAATCGGGTCTAATTGAAAGAAAATGAACTGATAGATACACCGATTAAAAGGCCGGTCACATCTGTCTAAAGAATTTCTGATGCAGAGGAATTATGAATTATGTTTTCCACACACCTTCTGGTGGTGCGACTGAAACTGAAGAATAAATTAAGAAAAAAACTAGCAGCTTTCTGTAGCATTTATCAATTCGACTTACCTAGCAGGGCTGTTTACCTTGGTCGATGTCCTTGGAATTCAACCGTCCTGATTCTTCAATACGTTTCAGTATGGTTATATGAATGCAGTACAAAGACTATAACTAGATCTTTACTAACCCACCTAGTCCAGACACACCATAGTCCTAACACAGACCACACAATTCGTAGAATACTGAAGACTGTCAGTAGGGTGAGTGGTGTCCCAGTGGACCACATAGTTAACGTCGTTGTCGATAGGCACTTGACTTCGTGCAATAAATTTGCTGAAGGGATTTTGTCTGACTTGGAGCATCCGCTTTACCCTCAGCTTTCACCTTGCATCTCCTCAGGTAGAACAAGAAGTAATTTCAGAAAACTGTATGTTCGCACGTCTAAGTATAAGAATTCTATGATACCATACTTGGCACGTATTTTATGTGATGAAAATAGTGTCAGGAAAGAATTAACTAACCTTTTTTCATCTAGTAAATAAACAATTTCCTCCATCCATCCTTACATACCTTTAAGTTTTACTTTTATTACTTCTATAATATTTATGGTCCTGTTACTTCTCTGTTTTACTCTCATAATTGCAAACACCAACTTATCTCTATGACTGATGAAATCTTTGTTTTTCCCCTCACCATATCATGCAAAGAGAACATTATATTCAATATTTTTAAACATGTTAGGATTTCTATACCACATTGCCAATACTTTGTGACACAAGCCAACGGCAATTTTCACTTGTATTCTTATTATTATTATTACCCTAGCTGTTATCATTATTATTGCTATTTCCATTTTATATGCTGCATGTTTTTGACACTACCTCTATTGTAAATGTGGAAAATTTTCTGTGTGATTAATTTTATTTATAATTTGAGGAAATTAGATGCAATATTGTGATTAATGCTGAAAATTCCATTCTGCATCACAAGTACTGTTTTTGGAATAAAGTAAATCATCATTATCATTATCAGTTGTACTGCATCACTGACTGTGTTCCTAACAATAGACCAAAAGCCATTTTACGGACAGTGAAATTGTTAACAACTGATCAGAAGTCAGGATACAAAATGATATCATTTTATTGTGAAAATTTATTCCTTCTAGCTTCTTTGAAACTAGACATAGTGATTCTTTTATTTTATTCAGAGTCACCAGTGTCCATTGAGATATCTACGGTCGCTATTTATTATCAGCTTGACAGAGTTTACCATGATATTTCTGTCTACTGCAAATGAAATATGTTGAGGATTTATCAAATTTCACTGAATGAATTTAAACAAATAAAAAAAAACATTTTTGGTATCCTGTATAATCCATTTTATACACTGAAAATGATAACTAAAATTATTTTTCAAATAATTATCAGACGATAAAGAAGAATCTTCTTTTTGTAATATAATTTGGGTTGTTACTGTGTGAGAAATTATTTTCGTTATTTTCTGAGTCAGTCATTTTAGAAAATAAATTTCTATTTGAATTTACTTCTTCTTTTTACTTTTAGATGAAGTTGACTTAGGACTTTTACGTTTAGGACTTTTATCTTTAGGTGATTTTTTCAACTTTGGTGAAGATGATTTAACAACTGGTGCATTTGATGATTCATCTTCTAATTGATAACGTTTAATAATTGCTTCAGTCAATAAAACATCATCTGGCATTGGAAGTGATGCTAAGCTAGAACTTCTTTTCATTTGTAAGGATAAATCATCAGCTAACATTGGAGGAGCAGGTAGACCATTTATTGGCATTAAAGGATCAATAACAGGACGTAGAATTAAAGCATCATCCAATGCTAATAATGTTTCATCATACCATCTAAATATTGTTCTATCACAAATAATTGCTAATTTATTTGACCATCTGTCAACAATACATGCTACACCATTTTTGCCTAAACTGAAATGTCCTGGTCTAATACTCTGATAAGGATCAATTTTCCATGAACCTAAATAGCATGTTTCCCCATGAGGTAATGAAGGTAACCAAGGTCCAGGTGGACGTTTATTTCCAAATGTATTATATACTCTCATATATCCACCACGAGAATCAGAGACAACTAACAATCCAAGAGAATCTATTTGTATACCATATGGTTCTCCAATTGAAATACGATCTAAACTAAACTCTGAATACCATGTTACATCAATACGATCCATTTGAGATAAAACACGTTGACGGTTAATCCAAAACATTTGTACTCTAGGCGGTCTAGTTGCAGCTACATAAAGTGCATTTTCACTTGCTGCACATCCACCTGATGTTGCTAAATGAATACATGTACTTTCATCCGGGAAAGCATTTTCTAAACATAAATCAATTGATTTTAATGTTACAGAATCATAAATACGAAGTTTTTGAATAGGATTAAATAAAATAAATAAAAGATCAGAATTTGAACACATTCCAATTGGTGTGCTATCATCTTCAAGTTTATAATCATTTGGTTGTTCATTTTCATTTTCTGATAATGGAATACTTTCGTATTTAAAGTCAATTCGATTTTCTTCTTTTAATGTTATTGGATCATATAAAATTAAGGCAGTTTTCTTAGCTTTAGGACATGTTGAAAGACAAGCTATTCGTCCAGTTCTTGGTATCTCTATAATAATACGTGGTTCTCCTTTCACAATAATTAATGATGTATATTTAACAATTTTTGCACTTATGGGATTAAAACCATAGCGTAAAATACGTCTTTGTGGGGGATCACTAACAAAAATATCACCCCAACTTGTTATTAATGGACAATATGGTGACCAAAACCATTCACGATGTTCAAGCGTTATGCGATTAGCATATGGATACCATACTTGTCTTCGTAAACGAGAGAAAAGTGGTCCTTCTGGTGGATCTGGAGGTGGTGGTGGCGGGGGAGGTTTCTGATATACAAATGGTTCATCGAAAATATCTTTTGTTTTATCTTTGGGTGAATGTTTTCCTTTAGGTGATTTTTTAGGAGAATTTTTGCCTTTTGGTGAACTTTTGCCTTTAGGACTACCTTTTGATTTTGGTGATGGCATTAGACTGCATTAAGTTTCAGTGATAATATGTTTCTTCAAATCATCTGATCAATAACAGTAATAATAATCAATACATATTTAGTTGAATCAGTTACAATACTGTATTAGTCAACAGAACTCTTTTGCCTTCAAACAGGTGAATAAAAAATGCTATATAATAATTGGGTGAAACAAGTATTCCATTGAGTGGCTTTATTGCACATCCCCGTATAATTGTATCGGCGTAGTCTGTTGCTATGGTGATCTAATGACAAATTATAATTTTGGAGTGCTTTTTAAATAAAATTTTGCACATAAATTCTTCATGACACCAATGTTATGGGGGAGGGCCATCATATTTTTGAACTGCGTTACATTTGCTTCACTTTTACCAGAAAATGTTGTTCATTACTGATATCTACTCAATGTAACGAATCAAAGGAGGTGGGAAGTTTAAAATTCAGGCGTATATTTTGGATTTTCATGGAATCATGCTAGTAGTATTTGGACCATTTGTTGAAACACAGCAGTACTTACCGAATAAAGTAGGTGATGCCACTTCAAAAAGGAATATGCTATATAATCGCCCAAATTATACTGCGATTGATAAAAATGGTTATGGTTAAGATTATCAGAGTATTAACCATGGTAAAGATTGGATGGATGTAAACCGATATAAACACTTTGTGTTTGTGTGAAGTAGAAACCAAGATTCATTTTAGAATTGAACAGTAAAGAATAATAAAATATCTTTTGTCTATGAATACGGATAATTCTAAGCGCAATGAAAATTTTCAAGTGTAACTCAGGTTGCTACACTTATGGCAGTAATGAATGCATCAACTATTTGTATTTCGGACAGATAACAGCATACTCATCTATTATTAGCTATATAATACATCATATTTGTATTCTCAAATAAATACTGTAACTATCATTCAATTCAAAACCATTATCCATTCCTATGGAGGCTTAATTTATAAAACTTACTACCAATAAATTTATCAGTTGGAATTTATTCCACTATCGAAGCTAAGAAAGTAAAAGACGACAATGATTTACTTCCATCAACTTAAAACAAGGGATATACTATATAAAATCTTGACAAGACAGTAGTAACATCTCTGACAGCAGTACTAGATAATCAAAGAGTCGAATCTTAGGATAGGAAATCAGTTCCTGCAATGGTTGTAGATACACTTTGCTGATGAGTACCAAAAAGTATGCAATGTAGGCGTTCAAGGCTGTTTATCGATTGCCTCCAACCAATTAATAACAACAATTTAGAGTGTAGCATGATAGCAAGCCACCTAGCATAGTGGCCATATTGCAAATTTTTCTGCTAGAATTCACTCCGCATCAAACGAAGCACTGGATGCATGACATTAGTTACTATCTAGTCTCTAATCAATGACAGTACATACAAAAACCAAATTATTCGTTCACTAAAATGTATTTATAATATATGATAAAAAAAAATGTGACTTATAATAATAATAATAATTTGCTTTTATTCCAGAAACAGTACTAGTGGTACAGTGTGGAATTTTCAGCACTCATCTACAATATTGTATCTAATTTTATCAAACATTTAAAAGGAGTATTTCAAAAAATAAATATAAAAAACAACAGCAAAAACACAAAATAGCAAAAAAACGCCAAAAAATACCAAGAAGTAGAATGGAAAATAAACAACATAATAAATAATGTCTCAGTGTTGGGTAGAGGAAGCTATGATATGTTTATGCGTGGTGAACAGTAAAACAATATCATACAAGAATTAATGAAATGATATTAAAAATGTTTATGGCATGATCAGTCAATTTGTTTGAACAATAAACAGTCATAAAATAAACATTTCAGGTTGTTTTTTTTATTGTCAGCTCTAATGGGCTGTTTGTAGTGGTGGTGTGAATAATCCTGCATAATACAAAATTTTTAAGACAGTAATAATGGCATTCACAATCAAGATTGTCAGTCAATATTGCCGAACAAAAAAAAATCACAAAACTAATATTACATGAAGGCTAATGACAGGACACTTTTGTAATACTCATAGTGCTAATATAGTCGGACCCAGTAGATACACAAAAGAAGGAATAGAATAAAGAATAAAAAAAGTAAGCCAACGATAATAATTTTAGGTAGCTAGGTATGTTTAGGAAGGTATTCTCTATAGAATACAAATAAGAGAGAAATGAAAGAGGCAAAATTATGTTATTAACAACAAAGCAAGTCATAGGTTTCGCGCTTAACATTGTCTCTGTCACTTAGAACATGGGCCAAAAATGGTATCGTTGAGTTCCTATACTTGGTTGTACGAGGATATATTTTTTTGTACTGATTTCTAGTTCTACGTGATGAGATACAAGGAGAGAGTTGGAAATATTGGGGGTGTTGTGGATCGGAGGGTATGTTTAGGTATGTAAAGTTTAGGACAATAGACAAGCCGAGGAGAGTAATGAAATAATAATTATAATACTTGTCATATTTAGTGACTCTGCCTTAAATAAATGGTATCTTTTCGGTCGAAAGACTATCTTCATTGTCAAAAACTGCAACACCGTGGGCTGAATTTGCTACATAACCCTATTTTTTAAACTATAATCTTAACATTTCTTTATTAATATTACATTAGATTTAACCTTAAGAAATAACGCTTGAATAATTTAATTTACCAGTAATGCTTGAGAACCAATGTAAATATGAGCTTCTAAGGTTATGAATAAAGGAAAACCAAAACTTGCCGCGCTTTCATTTCAGTATATTTATAGAGATAGAAAAGGGATAGTCAATTATGGTTTGGATCTCCTCAGGTAGTTGGTTTTGTACTACAGGCCTAGAGGGATACTATAATCATATCAGATGGTATGTATAGGCTCTTCTCGAGAGGTTCTATCAACTTTTTCACGCAAATGGAATAACTGTCATGACGTTTGTTATACTATGCGCGAAAACAACCGATAGCCTTTATTCTCAAACAGGAGTCAACTGACGTTTGAAGATATTTTGCTAAGCTGTTCAAAAGAGTCAGAATAAATGTGTCCGATATGTCTGCAAAGCTTAGCAGTATTTCCTATGGCACTAACCATATCATTTAATTTATTAGTATATATATATATATATATATATATATATATATATATATATATATATATATATATATATATATATGATAAATATGGACCTCGTTAGTTCGATCTTTCGTTATAGGGAGATTTGTTAAATAAACGCACAACTCACAGACTCTGTGTATAGGTTCATCGAAGAGCCAGTACAAGAATAAACAACAAACCATAGTGAGACACGTATTGGTGATATCAATACAATAGTTCAGTCACATGGCTATTTATTAATATCCAAATTACTTTGAATATCTGATTCGCATTCAGTAGATCACTAAGTAACAACAGAGACACATTGTCTAACGGATATTAGGTGGTTGTTGTATCTGTGACGACAGAAGACAAGGGCTAGGCAACAGATCGTTTATTGTGAAAATCAACAGATATTTATAGATTTTTATGTACATTATTATTAGCGTTATTGTTAGCAGAGAAGCAACGCCTTCTCATTGGCTGTTTTCCTACTGAAGTTTATTCTGTCATCTCTTTGTGGCCGTTTCTTAGACATTCCATTGATAAATCTGCAAATCGTATCCGCCCACACTAGGTTTTATTTGATTGGTTGTTGAGTTAGCCTTTGTTTTCGTTTCTTCCTCATGACCAAAATTTGGGACGTAAACATTGACGCAAATTGCTGTCTACCAATTTTGGCTAGCAGACAGCTCTCACCACTTATCTATCTATATTTAGCAGTTTACATTTAAAAGACAGAAGTACTTTTGGTGAAGCCAATAATAGCAGTCAAGCCAATGAACACACTATCTTAAATCACTACTTAAATTCGGTCACTGATGGATTAGCAAAGAAAGAGGACCAATAACCTAATATAGAATTCATCCAGATACTGTTTTTCTGTATTCATATAAGTGTGAATTTCTTCCAAGCGATTATTAAAATCACACCTTAGGTGATGCGTAATATCCAAAAACTCAAGATTTGTCCAAAATGAGTTACTGTATTATTATTATTATTATATCTTTTAATTCCTAGAGGAACATAGGGCTTCAGCTGTGCACCTCCATTGCCTTCTGTTTTCTGCCAACTTTTTCACTCCGCTCCAAGTCTGCCCGCATGCTTTCATCTCCTCCTCACATGACCTCCTCCAAGTCACCCTCGCACTGACGACCAACTCGCCGCTTCCCTTTCGGGTTCCACTCGAGCAATGGCTTGTCTAGTGATATCACTTGGTGGTTTCCTCAGCGTATGGCCAATCCATCTCCATTTCTTCCTGCCTATTTGTTTCGCGATCGGTTCCTGATTGGTTCGCTCATTGCCAGAGACCTTTGTTGCTAATCTTTTATGGCCGGCCATCTGATCTTGAGTATTAGGCGAAGACAACTGTTAATGAAGGTCTGAAGTTTGTTGGAGATGCTCTTTATGACGCGCCAAGTCTCTGATCCGTAAAGTAGCACTGACTTCACATTGGAGTTGAAAATCCGGATCTTATTTCTGATGCTGAGTGATGTTGACCTCCACACAGATTTGAGAGTAATGAAAGCTTGTCTTGCTTTTCCGATTCTGGCTTTGATATCCTCGTCAGTTCCACCCGCCTGTAGTCGAAACGATGCTTCTTAGGTAAGTAAATGAGGTTGTTTCTTTCAGGTTCCTCCCATTTATGCTGATTGTTGTTGATGTTGGCCAAGAATCTTCATCACCTCTGTTTTATCTATGTTCACTTGAAGTCCTATCTTTGATGCTTCTTCTGCCAGCTTGTTGCTTTTCACTTGCATATATTCCAGTTTGTGGGAAATCAGACATATATCATCGGTGAAGTCCAGATCCTCCAGGTTTTTTGTGTGAGTCCATTTTATGCCTGTTTCCTCATTGCCCGTTGTCTGTTGCATTATCCAGTCTACTGCAAAATGTCTCAAATGAGTTACTGTATTAAACATAAATAATGAAATAATAATATAAAAACATTAGTTGTGAGGCTCTGTGGCTGAATGTCATTAAAAGCACAATTAATGTGCGGAAAAAACAGCAAAGCTCTTTCAAAGACGACGTAGATTTAAAAAGCCCACGAATGCTAGACATGGAGTAAAGGAATACACATAAATAATATTCAGCAGTAAAAGGTACATAAATAAGGCATATGCAGCAGATAATGTTCAACTAAAAGAAAATTATCACTATACATCAAATAGAACATATATAGATTTAAACTTCAATAGCAAAGTCGCGGTAAAGATGTAGCAAACTCAAACTACTTACTAATTGTAAGTAGTATGAATTCCTAACTGCGAGTATTTAGTTCTTCGTGTTCTATCAGTAATCCGCTTCCCTTCCAGAATACAACCGTCTCTCCAGCGTTTCTTCTACAGTAGGTTTTCGAAATACTCATGAATTACCATAACCTTCCTCTGGGAACCCTTACAACATATTACCTGTGTCCCCTGTTATGATTAGCACAAACAACATAACCACTTCACTTATTTTTGGAATTGCATCAATTCTAATGGACTGATCTCTGATGAAGTCTTAGCACGCACACAAGGCGCTATATCACCGACGGTCTGAAGTCATTCATTCTTAGCGTCTCGATCACCCTAGTGAGGCAGTCTAAATCTCCCTACATGGCTCTGACTAACAGTTAAATATTTCAATGGCTAATGCCAGGTTTTTATTTCAACACGTCTAACTCGTTTCCAACTTAATCCGATGCTATGGCTTGGCGAAGATAGCTACGAATTGACAGGCTCAACTCATGCCCTAGCCATCTTAGTCAATTCACCTTCATAACCTCATCGTTTTACCTTCCCTTCTTTACTCAAAACTATGTGCCTAACTTCAATAATACCTACCATATTATATCATTCTGATCACACACGTACTTGTCATACACAGTTTTTATAGAAGGCATGAATAATTACAATACAGGCCAGATTGTGTACAGGTCAAGGTCACAAATAATGGGTAGGGAGACGCAAAAGGTGTGGGTAAGAAAGATACAGAGAGTAAAAACAAGGCAAAGAAGGGGTTTGAAAATATTGTGAAGTAAATTGGTCCTTGGTTCTAAATTGGATTACCAAGGCAGGTAGTTTTAAGCTGATAACAAATAACTTTTGGACACATAAGACAGGTTGAAGTCTTTTAATGGCTAAGGCTTCAATGAATTTTAAGTATGTGACCCAACTTTGTTTTATAAATCGGCTTAAAGGCATTGTTAAAATCAACCTTATGACCCGTCTCTATAATATGCTTCGCTATAGGTGATGTTGGACGTCTATTTCCGGGGCCAATTGTATCTGGCGATTTCATTTGTTGTTGCACCCACTTTGGAATGTGTTCTGCAGCCCTAACCTGCAGAGACCGATGGGTCGTCCCTATGTACGTTTCTCCACACACATGTAAACTGATAAAGACAATGGGATGTGACACTATCGTTCAGATAATGTGAAGGTTTGCAGGATAGCATAGTTCTCGTTTTTTCTATGAAGATAAGTTTAGCTGCATAATAGGTTCTATTAATTGCGGCCTTAAGTTTTTGTCTAGTGACTAGACTTTGTTGATCACCTCTGAACGGCAAGGATATGTAAACATCCATTCGGGAACTGATTGGATTGGTAAAGCTGTATGGTTGACACTTCCGTAACGTCTAATAAATCTCAGTGGGTAATTGTTATCTAACAATATTTCAGTGAGGTGTTTTCTTACTTCTTCAATTGTATCAACTATACGTATAAAGTGAACGTGATTGAATAGACATTTAACTAACGCCTTTTTATACTGCAGTGGATAGAAACTATGGTAATTTAGATACTGTCCAGTCCATGTTGACTTTCTGTAGACAGATCGTTTTACTGACCCATCTTCTCGGCGGGTTATGAGTACGTCTAAAAATGGCAGGCATCCATTATTCTCTTTAACATAAGTTAGCGATATACTGTTTTGAGCTCTGTTGATCTGGTTTAGGATTTCCATGGCGTCCGTTGGTTGATCACAAATGACTATTATGTCATCTGCATATCTTTTATAGAAATAAACTTTTCCAATTTCTCTCTCCGCTAGGTTCTCAACATGCGACATATATATATATCAGCTAACAATGGGCCTAGGGGGCTTCCCATAGCGACACCATCGATCTGGCAATAATGCTCGCCCTCGAATGTAAACTTAACATTGTCAGTACAAAGAAGCAGTAATTGTAATTATTCATGCCTTCTATAAAAACTGTGTATGACAAGTACGTGTGTGATCAGAATGTCCGAAATGTGTTGCGCCAATATATTACACGTTTCAGATAAACTACGTCTTCTTATTGTGTTGTCGAAATTCATAAAGGGAACTAATTGCTTTAAATCATATTATATCAATCAACATGGCAGATAGAACGCAAACATGTGATCTAAAACAACTAACGTCTTCAGGTCTTCCAATTTCAATGACCATGTCTCACAACCATAAAGAAGAACAGGGCTAACTGCTGTACATCCGGGAATCATGTCTCCTCCAGAAATGATGTAAGTTGGAAAATGGTGGCACATTCACTCTTTATAATCTTTCAAATTCTTATTACTCTCCATGAACTTAGTTCTCTTCCTGTATACTTCCGTTCGTTATAGTTCCTTTGAATATATTCTCTCTACCTTTGAGGGCTACATGGAATGTGGTAACTTGAACTGTTGACCCTCTGTACGACGTTGGAAACTCAGTCGGTCAGCTTATAGAACTGAAGTGTCAACCCATATAGAAATGTAAGGCCTTTATTTTTATCTATCTGGCGCTTCATATCCACTATGAGGAGCATAGAGCTTTTGATAGACTTTATTACTGTTTCCCTTAACTACTTTAGACAACTTAAGGGTTGCCGAGTTGTCTTACCATAAGTTATTGTTGATGTACAACTGAAGAACCTGAAGATGAAATTATTAAAATAATTTCCCTTGTACAGTAAACTATCAACATCTTTAAACATTCTTCGTGACTAAATGGTCCTTGAAAAATTAGCAACATTAGGAGAAATCCTTCGAGTATTTCTCACTGAAAGTAAGTATTGGAAAACTGATGTCAATAATTAATGTAAACTAAGACGTTAGAAAAGACAAGTGTCTTTGCCAGCAGTGAAGTCGTGACTGATGCATGTACTGGCATGATAACCTTATTTGACACTTTTAATTCGTTTATTTATGCCTTAAACTCCTTAAGGTTTACATACCATGTATTATGTCTAATAAAAGCTGCCGTTTTTCCCAGTCAGACACATTTTTGTGTCTATCGCAATGTGGGAGACATTTTCAAGCTATCACTACTGGTTATAGTGTGGTGAGAGCTGGCTGCTAGCCAAAGTTGGTAGACAGTAATTTACGTCAATGTTTACGTCCCCAATATTGGTCGTGAGGAAAACGAGAACAACAACTTTGCGTAGGCGGATACAGTTAGCATATGGATGATCTGACATTTAAGAAACAGCCACAAAGAGATGAAAGATTAACTTTCAGTGAGAAACAACCAATTAGAGGACTGTGTTTTTCTGCTAACAATAATCTATAATAATGTACATGAAAATATATAAATACGTGTTGATTTCCTTAGTAAACGATGTGTTGCGTGGCCCTTGTCTTCTGTTGTTACAATAGTATTGTGTTTTGGAGTTGTATTCTAGTCTAGTTAGACGAAAACCACAACAGTATTAATCCATCATAACATAAGATGAAAATGAAAAACTCCCTCGAAAAAGTAGCAACGCGTAGAAAAGAACGTAAATACTTTACAGTCGCAATTTCGAATAAAAGTTTTTTTATTTCAATCACTGTACACATTATATACTCATTGGACAAAAGTAAAAGTATATAAATACAAAAATGAATTTTAATAAAAGAAATATCATACACTTTTACTACCAGATGTTTGTCTATTGAAGAATTTAGACAGATAGCCAGATGATTTCTCACCTTCCTCACCTAAAAATTTACAAAACAAAAACAGATGCTGAGTTTCTCAAAGTTGATCGAGATTTATTGATCAAATACATGCAGAACTTAAACAACTCATTAGCTCTCACTGCATTGCACTTAGGATGGATCAACTAGTGCAAACACATGGCAAAGGCTTTAAGGATATATAACTTTTCAAATTGTAGTAACTAGCAAAGTGTGAAACAACGCACTTTCATGTATGTAATACTTGACTATATATTGATGGTTAGTAAAATCTGAGATACCCTGCTGAAGAGGCTGTGCCGCACGCAACGAAATACTCAGAAAAGACTTGTTTTGATTTTCTAAATGCACTGGGATTATTTTAAGTTATCTTATGAGGGTATTAAGTAGCCTATCAAAATCCAAGGCATAACCCATGGACCAATGAAGATCAGTAACCGTCCCACCATCATCACTAACTCGCAACTCAACACGCTGGTCTCCACTCCAACAAACCTTCCACCCTACATATTTTACCGTTGTGACGCCTTAACACTCTGGTTGTATTTACGTTGTATCGTACAATAACATACAAATCTTTAGTTATTCTCAAATCACTACTATACATGTGACAAACACAACAAAGTGACATGAGACGATTGATGTTCTCTAAATCTGAAAATATATAGGTCAAATGACTCTGAACAATAAATTAAACCCGAAATAGAAAAAAAAAAGAAACAAACACTAGTACAACTAAGTGCTAAAATTCAAATATAATTTGCTTTTCTCCAATCTCACTTGTAGACTCATCATCAGCAAGGTTTTCCAGAATGTATAATTTTCCTAATTCCACTATCACTCACATCTTATTTCAATTTCACTAATTAGAATAAATGCAAAAGGCTGTACAAAGAATAAATTTTGCAATATCACATGCTGTAAACTGTGTACTAAAAAACAAAAATATGATTGAGAATGAAGGAAAGATTATTGTTAGTATAAATTCGTACACACTTAAAACTGCTTCCATACACTTTAATGAGAATAAATCTCTTTCATAACTAATATTCAAGGTTAAGAGTGTAGAAACACTAGGACAACATCAGTGATGCGTCTACTAAAGTTCATTGGATTCAAAAATCATGTGAATATAAACATGTAATATTTAAATGCATCTAACCTTTTTCTTTTTCAACAGAGTTGATCAATTTATCAATCAGGTTTTCCGCCAAAACAAGCTTCAATGGTTTTATTTGGCTTCTGGCTATCTCATGTTCTATTTTCATCTGTTTTTTAACAGCTTCTTCTAGTGTAAGACCAATCCATTCGGCTTCTTCAAGCTACAGAAAAATGGTGTAAATTACATATCAGCAAAATAATCATAATAATCGAAATTGATTCTCAAGCTAAGAATTACTTTTCATTGAGAATAACGTCAATGGTATGAATCACTGAAAGTGAAGTAAAAGAGACTAGCTGATTGGATACTTTAGAGACGGGTATCAACCTCCAGTCTGACGTGATACATTTGATTCGTTTCCCATTTGAAGTTCAAAATGATTTTGGTTAGTAAAGATTACAAATGTTTTGCTTTCAGCAAATTTATTGAAACACTAACACTGAATATGATAAATATATTAACATTTTTTTTATTCCTTTACGTCCCCAGTGCAACATAGGGCTTCAAGTTAGAGGCTCGAAGTTTCGGTAGCAGTGGTATTTATTTTTACAGGATTAGTTTGCTAGCCTCATGCCCAACCTTTCCTCTTTACCATTCTTATTACTAGCTTAGCGAGATGAAGGGGTGCGTCGGCCGGGGATTGAATCTCAGAACATCTACGTAGTTGGCGAGCATTCTACCGCTGTGTCCCACGTATGTTCAGGTAACTAGCTACTGTACTATGGTATCTTACTATTACATCAAGTGAATGGAACTAGCATATACCTATTCAAGTATTGACCGATGTCAGCTCATGATGAAATCCTGTAATACATACCTAGTGTTTTGTTCATTCAACGAGACACTAGATTTGTACGTCTACGTTGACAACTACGACTCAGAAGTTTGTACATTCCGCACATTTGTGAAAAGTTCTATGTCGAAAACAGACAGGCAATAGTGCGTGATATACAGCCTATTGGTTGGACTATATCCTAATTACAGTACGACATAATTATTTTGTGCGTCGTACAATGTTACATCCTAAATACTCACCAACACAAAGTTCAAAACTTATCACGGAAAATGTGTACACTATTTAGTAGGAATGCAAGGGTGAAACGGAAAGTATTGTCAAACTACTAGGACTCGCTTCAAAATTATCATGTAAAACACTAACTTAAAGCCTATCTCAACTACAGTTTAATCCTTTCTCAAAAACAAGAATCTATATACGGAAATGAAAGCTTAACAAACAAACATATTTTTAAATAATGTTTAGATATCCATGAATACTTCTAGTTATGAGTGTATAAATCTGGATTCTGTCTCGTCGATCATCGATTCAAGCTAAACCATTGCTAAAACTTAAATCCAAATATCTTAAGTAAATATATTTTAGCCAAAATCTACGAAAAAAAACAGATGAACACCAGTAATCAAACGTACACATAATATATATGCCCTATGGAAGATGATTTGTGCCTATCAGTTAAATGGAGAATTTTCGTTTGGTAGCGTTAATGGTATAGTTTGAGTGATTCAAAATTGCAGTCTCTATGATCACTCTAAAAGTTATCTGTCAGACATGTTGAAACTGCAATTATCGGTTGTAATACAGTTTAAAAACAGTTTGGAATACGCTATACACTAACACGCAAGCCGTAGAAACAATAGAGATATGGACAAAATGTATTGAATATCTACGGCTTCATGTTAATTCTATAAATCTTCCTAATAAACACTTCCTTGCAACATTTCTTTGTATTGCAGGCATTTAACTGTCCTTCTTCTAGATTAAGTGATGTTAGGTTTGACAATTCCAAGAAACAATGAAAAATTCAAAATAGTCGAATTTAGCCCCCAGTACAGTTATTGCGAGAGCTTATGACATAACATAGTCGTTTAAGAGTTACATGCATAGGCTGAATTATTTTCTTCTGACAGATAATCATGCTTTCATTGAACAACAAACGCAACAAATATTCACTAATTTAATTCTCACTCGTGATATTTGCACCTAATAAAAAGCGTTACTCTCTCCCTCTAATTTATAAAATATTTGAGTGTTAGAAATGGCACCACTCTTGATGAGAGAAATTCAGGCAATATACAGTAGACTCAATGTATTCCGATGAAGTCATCAGAATATTCGACGCCAGAAAAGCAATAAGACATAACTACACAGTTCCACATTAGATAAGTTATGCAGTATTAACAACTGGATGACGTTTCGAGCATAAATTATTGCTCATAATCATATCAATTTAGTCACACGTTTTTACAGTTTGTCTTATACATATTTTCTCTCTCTTTCTGTCTCTCCAATTTCCCTTTGTTGTTTGTTGCCACTCTCCATATCTCCGGTATAGGCGTTACGTCATTCCAATTGCAGGTGTGCGGTGTTGAATCGATGAATAAAGATTCAGCGATTAACCTCACTCTTTCTCTCCACCTAACTATATTACTTTTTAATACTCTCACCATACTCCCATCCACTCTATTTTGTGATTACATGTAAGTGAATGCAGTGCAATGGCTGAGCTTTTTCTTAGGTTATTTAACTTAGCAGGATCAATTATTCTAGGTCTAACCACATCTTTATGTTCCAATAATCTGGCTGACCCTGGTCTACTAGTTTTACCTGTGTAACTGACCTCGCAGTCATTACATAGTATTTGGTAAGTTACATTATTTTCCTAATTTGATCTATTGAGTCCTTAAGTCACCAAAGTTTATCTCGGAGAGAGGTGGTTGGTTTAAATGCCACCCTAATTCTAGCGTCACTGAAAATTCTACGGAGGGGCCTCTAACTTCCCTGCTTTATCCAGCAGTGCTAGAGAGGCTTTGGGATCCTATATTACTTTCATTATTTTCTTCACTTTATTGCTAGTCTTAGTTTTTCTATAGTTCTTCGTATATTTCTGAATAAATTCTGGTGAGTAGTTATTTACCGGTAATATTTCCTTTATTTGTTTGATTTCGTTATCTAAATCTTTCGGCCTACTAGTTGGGATCTTCGCCTGGTTATAAAGACATTTAACTAAACTTATCTTTACCGATTCTGGATGGGATGTATTAGTGTGTGTAGGTTTCCTATAAATACTAGTATATAACCTACCAATTACAGTTACTTCATACAATGTAACCTGAAACGGAAAAAGTTAGAGTCGCTGAAGCTAAAGTAGGATGACAGGAGGCATAACGAAGATGTGATGGTTGGTGAAAACAAAATTCTCTACCAGTTGAGACAGGTTAAAGTATGTTCACGATAACATAATAGATTTCAAAAAGGCAAATCGGTATTTATACCCAACTTAGATTACAAGAACCATAGAATTAATGAACTTCAGTCACAAACTTTACGAAAATCCTATATACCAGTTTATCCATATGTACGGGGCCTTGATATTATAAGTAATACACGATACACAGAACCTAAGTATCCTATTTGTATTCTAACATTAATAGGGTTTTCTACTCCAATACTGTTGAATTTTACCATAGCTGTGTAAAATCAGTATGTGCGGCTATTACAAACCGTAAAACAAAAGACGTGACATTTACGCTTCAGGAGCTGAAGTTCCCAGTGTCAAATAGCAAGCAACTACACGTAATCACGTTAAATATGACGAAAATAAAGGCAAATGTACTCCATCTTACCAGGCAAGGCTGAATGAAGTAAAAGAACCCACTTAATTCGTTAGCACAAACAAACCTACGTCTTTGAAGCAAGTATTAGGTTACCAGAAACAATGACACCGTTGTCTTCCGTGATGTTGCGAAGCTACATAATATGAAAAACGTGGTTTACACTACATTAAACTCAAAGGAAGCTTTCACAACTGCGCCATCTCCTGAAGCACTAACAAAATACTCGAGACACATGGAAAACAGTTGGCAGGAATTTTCCACTTTTCGGTAAGCAAAGATTTAAAAGGTGAAATTGTAAATGAAATGAAAGGGGGAATGCTGCAGAATTTTAAGTTGTATAGGAAGTGGAAAAAAGTGAAGTTGTTCGCCAGACAAACCTAACGAACCGAATTACTACCTAGAAAGTGATTCGAAAGACATCCTCCCCATCACATGCCTAATCTATTTGATTGATATTAAAGTTAATAATAATAATTAAAGTTAATTATTTCAGCTTCCCAGAGTTTGTGTGCAATGTTTAAGATATTTAAGCAGAGTCCAGTGAATTCAACGTTAGAAATGACCGTTAATGTAGTGGTAAAGAGGATAGATATATGAGCCTGCTAAAAAAATGTCAACCAGTGTCTCACACAAACTGCGAGAAATGTACTTCCTTAAAGATAGTATAAGTGCTTAAATAGCTTGCCACTAACCAAAAACTCTAGCTTTATCCAGCGAAACCCATAGTACTTCGCTGTTTGTTTGTTTTTTAAGGAAAAAGAAGCATTAGGTTTTCTAATAGTGTAACTCACAGGTATTATAAATCTTGAGAACTTCTGCAGACTGCTTGGAATAATCCCATCCTCTTCTGCTTTCGCAAGGGTAATCAACATGTCCCTCTTAAGCTGCATCCCAAGTCTACTCTTAAGCTTTGATTCCGGAGTCTAAGAGACGTAACATACGACAGCACCAACAAACCGAAAGTATGTAAAAATCAAAACCGCCAGACTCTTCAATCTGCTTTAGTGCAGTTTTCGATACAATTATAACCATCCAACGGTTTAAGATCTCACTATGAAACAACTGTTCCATAAGATCAGGACGCCATACTTTTGGAAACCTTTCAAAACAATAATTAAAATATTACCTCACCTGGGTCTCTGGTTCTTCTTCTCCCAGTAGCCCTGAACAATTCCCTCCCCACCCCACAAGCACTTTTGAGACTCAGGCGGGTAAACGACATTGAGTCGTGAGTCAAAATATGTATTAGGAAATCTACATTCGAAAGTTAGCCGATGTAATTTAACTAGTTTACACAGCCCCAATTTCTTCTTTCGCAATTAAAGATGTGGCGAGAAAATTTTCATTGGCTAAGTTATTCTGATTTTCCAAATATCTTCTTTTGTAATGTCCCGGGAGACGATTAATGACATCCTTCATACGCCTGTAGAAGAATAAGCGCGACATCCGTGTAAAGCGCCTCTGTATGAGGTTGTAGTGCACATTGTACCTTTGAACTTTTGTTTAAACTCGCTCACCCACGGTGATAGGTCTTTCATCTTTTGAGTTGTGAGTCTTCCGTAAGTTCATTGGTTCGCTCTCTTGTTGTGCTCTCTTTCTGCACACTCTCCTAGCCTACCTCCAGCAACGTCAGCAGATAAGTTGTACAGTCACTTTATTTATTAAATCTGTTATTCAGTTACGTTAAATACAACTCATGCTAAGAATTCTTTCCATTTGTAGCCTTTAAACTTTGATTGAGTCAATCAGTACTTACACGTTAGGTAGAGTACTGGTAAAGTCATAAGACGGTGAAGTTTTTAGTAAGTGTGGTGATATCGAGGACTATCTTAAGTCTAGCCCCAACACTTACAAGGTCATCCGATCTCCAACGCCTTCGAGATGACTTCGCGACACCTATTTGATTTGTTGAGCTCACTCTTAGGCGTTTATGGACTGTCTAATCTCCTTTGTCTATGCTTTACTACTTATCAGGTAAAACTATGATGGCTGATAGACAATCGATTTTTGTTAAACTACACTAACGTGTTTTCAAACTCATCAGCAAGACGTGGTATACTACTAGCCAAGTGCCTATTCTGTCTGTGTTGATCATCTACTTCTTCAGGTTCTATTTGGTCCAATTCGGATCAAATAATTTTCGAATATTGGTTAATGATGAGAGGTTTGGTGAATATGTTAACGCGTTCACACTGATAACATGTTCTTATCAAGTCAAAAAATGCGAGAGTATATCCTTTTTTTTTTATTTACAGCTTGATCAAAAAAAAAAAAGGATATACTCTCGCATCCTGAACTTCAACTCAGTCTTTATAGTGGTGGAAGAAGCTATAATATACGGCATCATATTTAACCCTCGACATCTGTATGGATATGGTTCGTCATATGTAAAAGCCGTGAAATAAGTCACCAGTTAATTTGATCGATGACGGCACATGAAACATATGCCGTTTGAAGACAGGAATCAACAGTTACAGGTCAACCAATACCATACCTACAGCATACAGAGTTGCGCAGAGACTGATTAAAGATAACATACTCAAACATATGCCTAGCTGTAATATTGTAAGTCCGAATCAACATGGACTCTCTAAAATCCCGGTCGTGTTTAACTAACCACCTAAACTTCTTTAATTTTGTGACCAGCAAACGCCACAGATGATAACTAGTACCCATCAGCTACTCTGACATTTCCAAGGCATTAGACCGCGCAGACCATTTACTGCTGATAAATAAGTTGCATTCCTTAGGAGACATGACCCACCATTGGGATGGCTCAAATCATTCCTTAACAACAGGCCACGAGACTTTGGTCTGCGGCTTCCAAAACTAGCTCAGCCACTTCCAGTGTAGTTCAGGGTAGCGTCATACGGCCCCTCCTATATACCCTTTATATTAAGGACATATCCAAGCGCTTCTAACATGGTAAAATATCCGTCTTTGTAGATGAACTAAAAGTAACCAACAGATTTCAATGTGATGGCCTAGAGTACTCCCAGAATGTCGCGTAGAATGCATCAGATAAAGTGGCTGTCTCGTCACCTTTATGGAATCTATAATTTATTTTATTTTTTTATTTTTTTTATTTACAGCTTGATTCCACACTGTATTTTCGGTACAAGTATAGAATTTTCAGCATGGATATCGGTAGCCCAAATTTTGCAGGCCTACCATAGATATCAGATGGATGGCTCTTATTCAGCTCATACTCATTCCACACAAAGATGACGCTTCAATCTCCCAACACACCCAACACACCTGAGTGTAGATTAGTGACGCCTGACGTACACTAGTGACCTAAAAGTTTATGAGCAAGTGGCATCACAGATTCGAAAGTTGAGGATGTCCTCAGGATGCATATTCGAAGAATTATCACGAAAATAAAACCAGGCTAGTTATGGACAAAACAAGTAACAGGCTAATTGTGAGCCAACTCATATAAACTATCAATGTCCAGCTCTTGTTACGCTGGATCTCACGCAGTCCCTCAAAGACTCTCAGAAACACTTTGTATTAACCAATGCGAAAACCAGAACACAGATTGGCGACTCAAGAATCCTCCTTATTCTTACGCCAACAAGTGACCAACAATAAGGTTATTACACACAAGGTCTGAGATTAAATGTTATAACAATAAATCATGATAATACTTCTGATAGTTTCCGATCTTCCACTGAGCAGTGAACGATGATACGATGACTGCTGGATGGATGAATCCCGAGAAAATATGGAGGAGTTCGGTTTGAGCAAACAACCATAAATTGATTGTTCAATCTTCAACTACATTGACACTCCCCACCAAAAAAGGGATCCATCCCTTTTTTCCATCACGACCAGTACACGATGACTTGGATGCCAGTGCGAGAACCTGGGTCACACGGACAGAGTTGAAATGGAAAACAAACAGAAAAGCCAACACACCACAGGCATACCCACAGCACAATCTCACACATCGATGACGACCTGCGCCTTCCAGTTAAAGGCATCCTCTTGACACATCCTCTTGCAACACAATCGCCACTTGCTAGAATGACTCTTGCAGAATGCAACGTGACCATAGCAGCAGCTCACGATTCTCTACGCACAACCTCTTATCCACTCACTACCAATTACCACTGGAATCGCTTGTCACTCATTCTGCCTCAGGTCTAGTAACGGTGACGTATGCGAGCCTCAGTCGTTTACACTCCTTCTCCCCGGCGTGTGGGACTGCAGCTAACAATTATCTCCGTATGCATGTTTTTCTCAGAAATAGCCTCCCCAACATCTACGAGCCATCGGCTGTCTCTAACATCAATCAATTCATTCACGGATGTGGAAGACTCGTAACAACTTCAGAAGTAATCACCACGAAAATTTTAACAAAATTATGCAATAAAAACAAGGCACGAAAACAACGAGTAAACACAACTGATCCAAAATCACAAATTGAGAAGACACACCGCATGTATACACAAGCAGTACACACAAACTGGCAGATCATGTCTCGATGTAATTCCTTTGAAGAATTGCAGGACTTACAGCAGTACGCCTGCAACCCTTCTCAGGTTGACCATCGTAAGTTGTGGAATGTACGGACACAAACAAGATTAACCAACAATTACAATAATTGGAACTCACACAATTGTTTAACACAAACATATGTACAATCACTACATCAAATGTTGTGGATTCTGCCTTGACGAACTACCCTTGAAGTACTGTAGGACTTACACCAGTAAGCCTACATTCCTTCTCAAGTTGATGATCCGAGTGGAAGTCGTCCGGACACAAACAGAATTACGAACAGCTAGATGACAGATGATATCAATTCAGTATATACAATATGAACATATGTACAAAATCACACACCAAGCACACTGGACTGCCCATTGATGCACTGCCCTTTGAAGAACTGTAGGACTTACACCAGTACGCCTACAACCCTTCTCAGGTTGACGCTCTAGGTTGGAAAATCGTCACAGAGTTCATTTGCTGACTTCCCTCTATCAGCTATATCCTCAAATCTGAACAGTAACATGCTCACGTCATTGTATCGTAGAATATAGATGACTAACAAACACACGACGTATCTGGTCAACCAAGCGTAGGCACAGAGTAATTTACACCAAAGATAATAGCATTCAAATAGTAACTTGAAACTAGCAATGCCTTTATTCGTGCAAGTCAATTTAACAATTACTCTTTCGCTTACACTTGGCTTATCCTCACTAAACTGAGCGATATCTTTCGTCTTTTCAAATGCACCAATACTATCATAGTCATTGCACAAGGTACTTGAGTTGATGGGCGTCTGTTTCATTGTGGATGACAACACCAACGACGACTGATTGATACCAGTTGATGAACTTAGCGGTGGATCAGAAGCTGTTGTGGTTCGGCTTTCAGAAATTTATCTAATTGCAAGACTTCCACCACTGCTGTCTTTCACTACTAGTTCGGGTTTAGCACTATCATCTGATGATAGGTGGGCTACATGCTGATCAATTACACTGACGGTCTCACAAGTATCCATACCTTCTGCAGCTGCATCTGCATTCAATTCTACTTTACGTTGTGGTTGTACAGAACCTTTATTTAAGTTATCAGTAGTAGGCATTCCCCTCATTTCATCATGATCAACCAAAGACAAATCTGCACCATCGTGATCATTATCACAAAGATTCAATTTACCACCATCTATCTGGTCGACTTCATCATTTTCAAACCCTTTAATAACGGAAGTGGATGATTTGGGTTCTTCCTCACAAATCCCTAAGGATTTCATACCTTCACTCTGACTAGTAATACCTTGAAAACTTGTGGAGTCAGAACTGTCCTCTGAGACTGTAACTCTCTTCTGTGGCATACTATTCAACAATGGCTTGCTAATTGCAACTACAGGCTTCTTCACCGCGCTATTATCGTCACAAAATTCGGAGTCAGACCTTGAGTTCACATTTAGCTTATCACTAAACTTGCTCACTGATTCACAGTTCACTTCTCTATGCACCTCTTGCACACGTGTGAAACAAAGCCGTGTTTGTCTTGCATCTTGTAACTTATCTGTTGAGGATGTACTACGAAACCTGTTACACTCACTAGGTCTATATGCATTACTAGACATCATGGAGTCTTCTCGATATCCACCTCTCTGAGGATTATTCGTCATCAATGAGTGCGTTTTACCCTCAGACTGCTCTATTCTAGGGGTGAGATCTAACAGACTGGCGAACTTGCTCATAGATTGATTGACACTAGTATTTACCAGTTTCAGGATATCATCAAACTTTGGCTCGATACCCTCATCCTCCATACGGGAGCTCATCTTCACCCACTTCCTTTGCAGTCGAGTAGGTAGGCGTTTTGCTATTACTTCTAGTATAAAACTCGAGTTGAGGTCACTCGTGCGATTCATCGAAATCATTCCATTCTTGTAAATTAGCAAATTATCTAAAAACTCAGTG